CAACCACTGTGGAAATCAGTGTGGAGATTCCTCAAAAAGTTAGGATTAGAGGTCCCGGTTGACCTACCTTGTCCCCTTCTGGGTATCTTCCTAGAAGAATTAAAAACATCGTACCACAATGATATAGGTGCACTCATGTTTATAGCAGCACAACTTGTAATAGTTAAATCTTGGAAACAACCCAAATGCCCACCAACTGAGGAATGGATAAAAAGATGTGGTCTTTTTATACGCTGGAGTACTACTTATCATAAAAAAGGATAAACTGGTGACTTTTATAGATAAGTGGATGCAACTCGAGACCATACTCATAAGTGAAATAAATCAGACACACATATGTAAACATTGTATTGTCTCCCTAGTGTGAGAAGCTGAAAGAGTAAATAGGATTTTAAATGTATAATAGATATTGTAAAATGGGAAGAACCTTCAAAAGTAAGGAGAAACTGAGATAGGGGAATGGTGAAAACAAGAAAGGGAAAAGCAAAAAAAAGTATATATATCTGTATATATATATTAGTTAAGATAGTTATACTACTAATTTCTCTTAGTTCACTGAAAAGTTTCAAAAGAAAAGTGCTCATATTGTTTGCACAATTAAATGCCAGTATCTTGTACTCTGCTCTAATTTAAAGATAACAATATACAATGTATTAACCATTGTTATCTTCCTATTATCTTGTTTGAAAATTTTATTTTTTTCTCTAAAAAAAGCATTTCCAGCAAAAGACTCACATGATTACCTAACATTCCCTGGTGATCTGTCTGCATTATTTTACAGAAAGCTTGCATCTATGGAGAAACTCTAATTAATTTCCAATAAGATGATTTCTTCAAATGTGTGTAATTACAGAAAACTGCTGGTTTTCCTTTGTTGTCTTGCTCTGTTCATTGATTCATGGGTGGGACTAGAAAAGTGAGCTTGAAAATTTTCCTGTTACCGATTTGAAGGGGCACAAGATCTTCTGTCCACCCCAGTTTAGCTGGTTATGTCATTAGAATTGTGTTACTGGAGATATGGCTTAGCAGATATGGCTTAGCAGCTTCTAAAGGATAACTGAGTACCAAATGTTGTGGGGAAATGTGTTACCTGAGTAACTGGAATTTGTGGTCTTCATTGGTTTTTGGCATTGCTGGTTACTAAAATGCACATTTGAAAAAAACTATGATATATTGATTGATGCATAGGAAAATGAAAAGTATGTGCCACTATTAGAGATTGCCTTTTTTTTTTTTCTGGTACCAGGGATCAAACTCACGACCTTGCACTTGCCGGGCAGGCGCTGTGCCTCTGAGATAAATTCCCAGTCCCCACCGACTGCCTTTTAACTTAGGTGAACCTCCTGTGCCACCTTAGGACCTGCACATTTTTTTTTTTAATGGATAAAAAGGTAAAACAGAATTTCATAACAAAACAATGTGAGAATAACAATAGTTGATATACTTCATATTGTAATCTTCAAAGTAGTTACTCAAAGTACAAGATACTGTCCAATCGATGTTAGCACAAACCTTCCTTTTCAGTGAACTCAGAGACACTAAGCTTAGCTATACTTAGCTATACTTAGCTATACTTAGCTAACTTGCATTTTTCTCCTTTTGCCTTCCTTCCTTTCCCCTTTCTCCTATCCTAATTCCCTTTTCCTTTTAAACAATTTCTTCCCATTTCACAATATGTATTGTGCATTTTAGACCTTATTTACTGTTTCAATTTCTTACAAGCAGAGAGACTATATGATGTTTATGTGTGATTCAGATTTATTTCACTTATGAGTATGGTCTCAAGTTGCATCCATGTACCTATACAAGTCTCCCCTTCTTTATGACTGAGTGGTACTCCAGTGTATAAAAAGACCACATCTTTTTTATCTATTTCTCAGTTGATGAGCATTTGGGTTGTTTCCAAGAGTTAGCTATTACAAATTGTGCTGCTATAAACATGGGCGCATATATCATTATAGTATGATGTTTTTAATTTTTCCGGGAAGATACCCAGAAGGGGAATAGCTGAGTCAGTTGAGACCTCTAATCCTAACTTTCTGAGGAATCTCCATACTGATTTCCACAGTGGTTGCACCAGTCTACACTCCACCAACAATGGAGAAGTGTTCCTTTTTCCCCACAGCTCCTTCAGCATTTGTTATTGGTTGATTTCTTGATGACAGCCATTCTTTTTCGGGTGAGATGGAATCTCTCTTGTTTTAATTTGCATCTCTTGAATGACCAATGATGTTGAACATTTTTTTGTACATTTATTTGCCATAGCTCAAAGCATCAACAACTGGGATCTCATCTTATTAAAAAGCTTTTACACATCAAAAGAAAGCACCAACAGAGTGAAAAGACAACCCACAGAGTGGGATAAAATTTTAGCCAACTGTCTGTCAGACAAAGAACTTCCATTTAGAACATATAAAGAACTGAAAAATCTCAGACCCATAAAATTCAAAGATGCCTATAAAAGGGCATCTGAGATGAATACTTAGGACCTGGATGTGTTTTCAAGGTAACTGGCCTAGGTGTGAAGTTGCACTTGAAGCTGACTTTTCAACAGAACATTTGTGTCTTTGGGCTAACTGCAACTGGGTTGTTGTGGGCTCCCTGGGCTGCAAGAGGTAGCTACTTTAAAATACCAGTGTGTATATTGGTTGGTTCTTCCATCCATTGCTATCTCAAAGAAATTCCATAAGTAGTTTTTACTCCCTATGCCTCACCCTGAGTTTTTCCTGAAAGAAAACTTTTCAAGAACTGAATGAAAAGGAAACTTAATATGCTTGTTTTAAAAAAACAGCTCATATTTAAGGTAAAAAGTCAAAGGTGTTTATAGAAGGGGTGTGTGTGGGGCTGGGGATTTAGCTCAGTGGCACAGCACCTGCCTGGCAAGATCAAGGTCGTGAGTTTGATCTCCAGTACCGGGAAAAAAAATAAAAGAAGGGGTGTGTGAAAGCATAGTCCTCAATAGTAGGTGTCACACACCACTTGATCATCTCTGATTCTGATCATCTCTGTGCCCTTTGCCTGTGGCAGTCAGCCCAGGTATGATATTTTCTGTCTGTGGAGTCTGAATGAGATGAATACTTCATGGTCTGATCAGATTTTGAAGGCACATGCTATGAGTCTAAATTCTAGAGTTACCTTGATAAAGTTGACTTACAAAAACTGATTCCAACTGTGCAGACTTCAAGTTGGATTGGATTCCATTTGCCACAGCAGGTTTTTTTTCCTCTTAATATATATCAGGAGTATATCTGAGAATGTACTTTCTCTGTGAATCTCACGCGCTCATTCTGCCAGGTCTGTGGGCCGATATGGAACTGGATTGTGACAGATACTACATGGGCCTTCTTCTGTTGCTTCCTGCTGCTAATGTATCCCGATCAACTATGAGGCAAATGCTTTATGACTAAACATAATCTATAATCTGCATCTGCCTCATTTGTCTTTCCTGTAATCAGAAGAATATTTTTAAAAATTTTAATTGATTATACATCAATATACATCAGTATACATCAATAGTATGATATTTATGTGATATTGTGATAATATGCTTAAGGCGTAATGATTACATCAGGGTAGTTTTTCTTTTAGCTACCTTGAATATACAATGAATTATTATTAACCCTAGTGACCTTACTGTGCTATAGAAAAATAGAACTTAATCCTGCTAAGTGTATTTTTATATCTGTTAACCAACATTTCCTATGCCTACCTCCTTTATATGCATCCTTGGTACTTATAATTCTAGTGTATAAGAAGTGAATTGTTAGAGAAATTTTTCATGTCCCAATCAGAATAAGGTATAATTAAAAACTCAGTAAAAAAACTTTTTTTCCCCTCCCACCCAGCCCCTTTTTTTAAAATTTATTTTTATTTATTTTTCAGTAAAAACTTTGAAACTTAATATGAGTCTTCCTTTTAAAATCACTATTTTCTTTGTAGTTAAAAATATATATTAGGGGATTGGTAATTGAAGCTAAGGACCCAGTGTTGAGTTCTGTAACAAATATAGACCAGTGTGGTATTTAAGTGATGTTTTGATAAATACGTAATTCTGCCTCAGTCAGCTAGAATGAAAGAATATATAGCCTTCCTTCACCGAAGGAGTTCGTAGTGCTCAGTTCGTCCAGTGAGGACCAGGGAGCAGTGCTGCTTTTACAAAGAGAATGTAGCACAGAGAGGGGTATGTACAGACAGATTTCAATGTCTGTAATAGGTTGCGCTTATATTCAGGGAGCAAAGGAAGTTTTCATTCTAGAGGGCAAGTCTGAAAAAGCTTCCCAGGGGAGGTGCCTTGGATTTGGTCTTGAGCTGGAAAGTGTTGCTGAGTAAAGGTTGGCTACAGACACACCAGGCAGCCGTCCAGTGGGGAGGATTGTGCTCAGTAGAGAAAGCAAGTACTAAGATGGCGGACAACGAGGGGAGCTCGGTTCTCACGGCCAGTCAGGATTTTGAGGCTTGCTTCTCTGGGAAAGGAGCCATAGAGGTTTTTTGTTTTTTTTTTTTTTGTTTTTTTTTTTTTTTTTTAAGAAAAAAGTCTTCAGTAAAAATAAGTGTTGTTCCCCAAATCAATATGCTTTTTTCCCCCTAAAGATACCACAACCTAACAATTCAGTAAGATTATTAAAAGTAGTAACTTTCGCTTCTCTATCATGGACACTTTTTCTTTTAACTCGCTCTGACCTTATTAAATGTAAGGGTTATTATGGTCGACAAAGTTCATGGGTTTTTCCACAAGACTCTGGATTGGATTGGATTGGATTGCATGTTGTTGAGCAGATGTTGAAATAATGAATGCTGTGTCTGCAGCAAGTTTTGCATTCATGTCCGAGTCCGTAAACCATTGTATTTTCTCATTCCTTTCCATCAAGGAAATGAAGCTCTTACTTTTATCTTAAAATTTATATTTGTATCTGCTTTCAAATATTAGATAGTTTCAGGAATATATTATTCTTGCTTGATACTTTCTCTGGTTAAAAAAATCAACTGTTTCTATTTTTTAGGCTCTCCGAGAGGTTGAAGAGTGAATCCTTGAAATCCGACTTTACAATAGACTTAAAACATGAGGTATGTCATGGCTTGTTTGATTAAAAGTCTTAGTAATGAGGAATTGATCTTGCTCGGGAGGTGTCACTCAGTGGTGGGACACTTGCCTACCATGCTCAAGGTCCTCAGTTTAATTAAGCCTCATGACACTAGAAACAATTTATGTCTTTTGATATAAAAGATGTTTTGTATTTCCTAAGAGTGTGTATTCCCGACCCACACCTTTGTTTTCCCTACTGAGGTAATTTCACAGCACTCTGGTGAGTTAGGTCCTTCAATTTTAAGCTAATTTTAATTATGTTGTTACAGGAATGAGACCAAATACAGGAAAAAATAGCACCGAGGAAGTTCATGAGGCAGCTTATTACACTGGTGGTCTTGACTGGGATCTCTCCCAAAGAGTCCGTCCAACCCGGTGGGGTCTTGGGCCTTTATAGGGAGAGGAAGGGAGGAGGTACAAAGGCAGACTTGGTGTAGTATGACTGGAGGGTTGGGTGACATCTTGGGTTGCTAAGGGAGTTTAAACGTTTCCGGTTACATCACAAGGCCATCAGTTATTCAAAGCATGGGTTATACAAAGGAATAAATGTCCTCTTACATTTTAAGTTACATTGCAAGGCTGTCAGTTATACAAAGGCAACAAAGACAAGGGTTACACAGAGGAATATTTCAAGTTACATTTTTAGGCCATCTGTTAGACAAGCTTACACAAAGGACGGAATGTTCTGTTATCAGGCTTGTCCCGACGTGGACATGTCCGCTTAGTCTTGGCAGACATCCTGAGCAGGCTTTCTTGGCAGGCTTTTATTTAAAATTTTAATTTCCCCCTTTAGTGTAGGTGGAGAAGAAGCAGTGAAAAATATTGAATCTCATGATTCATGATTCTTTCTTTTTAAAGTAGGTAGGTGGGTCCAGAAGTAGATTTCAGAAAACATGCAAAAATGCCATTAAATGTATCTCTGGTCTTAACTTGGTGCTTTGGCTATACATGTGCTGCTGTAGACGGGATGCTTGTGTGCATTCCCCCAAAAACAAGTTTAAGCAGGATTCTTAATGCAGTGGGCTTTGGGAAATGATTAGGTCATGAGGTTGGAGGCCTAATAAGGGGATTAGTGCCCTGATAAAACAGACCCCAGAGAACTGTTCCCTCTTCCCACCATGTGAGGACACAGAAGAGGGATACCACATCGGGATCATGAGGCAGATGCTTACTGGATATGGATCTACCACCACCTTGATCTTGGACTTCCAGTCCTCCAGATCTGTGAGGAGTAACTTAGTATTCCTTGTAAGCTACCCCACATATGGTATTTTGTTGCAGTAATCTGAACAGAATAAGGCATCTGACTTTGTTGTGTGCCTGTGCTTGGCTCTCTAGAGCCGAACTGAGCCAGTTGGTACCAAGCATGCAGCTATGGTGTACCATGCTGGGCCCCTGGCATCCATGGTTCCATTGCCTTTCTTGGTTATCTGTGACCAGTTATCTTGGAACAGATGACAGATGTCATTGCTACTAATCACTCCAAATCACCAGTAAGTAGGGTCCCTTTTAGGGTTAGTAGTTCATGAGCATGTCTGACTATCTGAAAAGTCTTGCTTTTCCCTCTGCAGGAATATTTATCTCATTGCATTGAGGGGACTCTTGACCTGTTACTCAGTTCATTCCTTGGGCAGCCTTCCATGAATGAAAAGTGCACACACAAGACTTTTTCACTTCTTGGGTGTTTTCAAACAAAACAGATTGTTTGAGGACAAATATACTTAGTATTCTGTTCTACAAAAAGCAAAGAATGACTTGTTGAAAACTACACTAGAAATATTTAATGAAGAGTCAGTTCTGGAATAGATACTTCGGCTTGAGATTCTATGAAATGTTCTAACATATGTGAAAGATAAAATCATTTAACAAAATGCCTGTGCAGCCTACTTGGTTTAAGAGAGAAATTATTACCAGTTGCTTTGAGGTCACGTATATGTTTCTTCTCAGTGGTGATGCCATTTGGTCAGAGATATGGAGAAAATGTTGTACCCTCTAGTTAGAGACTATATACTCTGTTCTCTGTTTATGAAAACTTAGCATGAAATAGGCCATAATGTAAGTTTAAAAAAATTTCAAATGATTGCTATATTAACTACAGTAATATTAAGTTAGATATAATAACACAGACACTGTAATACCATACCTAAGTATATTTGGTTACAAAGAAAAATGTATTATTTAGACAGTGGGTCATAGTTTAAAAGAAAGAAACCCAAAGCAATCACTCTTCAGTTCTCTGTCTCCCTTACTTTTCTTATCTTTGAAGACACATGAACGTATTTCTGAATAACATGTAGTTTTGCACCTTTTTGGACTTCATAGAAATAGAATTGCACCGTGAATTATTCTGATTTTAGAGATTGATCTGTGTTAGCACCTGCAGCTCCGGTTAACTTATTTGCACTTATACAGTTACTGTTCATGATCTCTTACCATATGTGACTGTGCCAAAATTCATTCATTTTATTTTTCCTTTCAGTGGGCTTCTGAGTGGCTCCCGTCTTTTCGCTGTTACGAGCATGGTTTCTGTGGGTATTTTGATGTGTGATATGAAGGTCATCTGCAAGGGTTTCTTTAAGGCAGAGGCTTTTAAATTTTTTTTTCTTTTTTTATTAGTACATGTTTACTGTATATAATGTTTACATTGCTTCTGTGACGTACATGACACTTTTTGTGACCCAGTATATTTGTTATTTGTTACTGTAGTTTTTGTTACTGATTTCTGACGTAGTATTTTTGTAGTCTCAATCAGTTATCTCATACATTTTTAGGCTTACTTGATGGCGTAACTCATGATCAGTTTTCACACAGAGAAAAGGGTGTGCATTCTCCGATGTGGGGCCGTAGTAGTCTTTCTCATCAGTCTGATTAAAGAATGTGTTCATTGTACTGGTCGGATATGTTCTCTCCTTCCTTTTTCCTTTTGTTCACTGTTGCTTCTTTTTTGGCGAGGTTGATTTATCATTTACTAAGGGAGCAATGTAGAAATTTTCCATACTAATGATAGATTTGACAGTTACCCCTCGTGGACTGTCAGCTCTTGCTCTTTGTACTCCGAGGCTATTTAATGCACCATGCTAGTTTAGAATTGTTACATCTCCTTAGGGGATCTGTCATCTGTAGTAATGGTCTGTTTTTATTGGCATAAAACATTTGTGCACTAGATTTTTTTGACTTCATAATCTTTCATCTTTTGAACTTTTTGCTTCTTTATTTTTAGATGTGTCTTCTTTTTTAAAGAGGATATGCTTTTTTCCCTTCTTGGTTTGACCATCATGATCTTGAAATCACATAACGCATTTATATTTTACATCAATTATGATTACTACTATATTTGGATTGATTTCTATCACTTTATCCACCCCTTCCTTTTCTGTTTTCCTTTTAAAAATTTCTTGCTTTCATTTCTCTTTTTCGTTTTAGTCCATTTTTTTCTTCCTTTACTATTTTTGGAAACTGAATCTTTCTTTATGGGTTATTTAAAATTTTTGTTTTGTTTTGTTTTGGTTTTCTTCCGGTATCAGGAATCGAACTCACAACCTTGCACTTACCAGGCAGGCACTGTGCCACTGAGCTAAATCCCCAGCCCCTATTTAAAATATTTTAACATGCCTTCTTAACGTAACAGTGGTTAAGAATGGGCATTCTCCAGTTAATGCCCAGAGGACTGAAGGACTTTAGAGTAGCTTACCTCTGTTATCTCACTCCTAACTCCTATTGTATTATTGTCCAGTAGTTTTACCCTCTCCCATTGGCTACTTTCTTTACTTTAACTAGTTAAACTTTGCACTGCCTTTACCATGTATTTGTCAGCATCTTTGGTGTACTATTCTATTTGATTGTTTAAATCTTCTTGGGATCATTTTAGTTCTTCCTGAAATACATTCTTGAGAGTCTCATATTCTCCCTTTTTTTTTCTTTTAAAAATATTCATTTCATAGTTACATCATGTGTACAATTCTTAATTGTCAGTCATTCTCGCTCAACACAGTGATATGATTCCAAGGCATTGTGGGGACTGCTGTATTGTTAGGAAATCAGTCCTTAGACTAATGCGGTTCCTTTTAGGGAATCTGTCATTTTCTGTCTGCTTTTAATAGTCTGTGACTTTGGTGTTCTACAGTATTGTATGATATATCTAAATGTGAACTCTTCTGCAATCCTACTTAGCATTCGTTGGTCCCTTATATAATAACATCGGTAAGCAATTTTTTGAAAAGTCTCAGCAATTGTTTTTGAGCTATTTTATCATCCCTGTTGTCTATCTCTTTAAGGAACTTCAGTTGTATCCTAGAGGGATGCATTTTTCTCTTACATGTCCCAATTTGATTTCTCACTGTGTTACCTTTTAGATAATTTGAGGGGCTTTATTTTTTAGTTCCTTTTTTTTATTCAGCTTATATAATATGCTGTTTATCCTAACCATTATATTTCCATGTTATTTATTCTTTATTTCAAGGGTTGTATTCACTTTTCAAATTTACCTTCTTGCATCATACAATCTCTTTAATATTTGCTCATGTTTTAAAGTTTTTCTTTTATAAAAGTACTGGGGCTGGGATTTAGCTCAGCGGCACAGCGCCTGCCTGGCAAGCGTGAGGTTGTGAGTTCAATTCCCCGTACCAGAAAAGAACAACAAAACAAATATGTTTAACATAGTAATTTTATAGTGTGTGTTTGATAATTCTGACACCTGACGCCTTATGGGTCTGATTAAGTTGTGCCTGCTTGCTCTTGTTCCTCATCTCATTTTTTTATAATTTTTGTAGAATTCCTGTGATTTTTCTCACGCTATTGTTTTCCTGACAGTTCTCTGTGGCTTCCATTAAGGCTTTCGGTTTCTCAGTGTTAGTGTTTGCTTGCTGCTAGCAGATTGTACTGTACTGATTTAGGGATACTTTACCGCATTTGACATGTTCTTATGCCTCACAAACCAGGGAGACCTAGCTTTAGGTTATAGACTCTAAGAAGAGATTTAGAGATTATTTTGCCCTTCATGTAGCTCCAAAGAGCCAGCTTTATGTGGGCGATTATTTTGCCTTATTTTGGGACCTCAAGGCCTCATTCTGTTCGCTCTCATCAGAAACTCTGTTTTCAAAGGTCAGCGGACACCTCCTGGCGTAACCACCTTGGGTGCCTCTTCCCTCAGGTTCTCCTTTTTACGGTTTTGCCCTCACAGCTGCAGTACTTTTGGGTTAATTTAGCAGTACATTTAAAACAAATTTAAAGACATGTTATTTAACATTTTTCGTGTTTTCAGCAGATCTGCCTTTCAGGGTATGTAACTACGGGACTGCAGGAAACTAGAGCTCTGATACTGTTCCTCACATCTGTCTCTGCAGTGTGTTAGAATATGTTCTTCTCTGAAATTGCTTGTCATGATTTTGGAAGTTTTTGGAGATCAGAATATTAATTCACGATCAGCTGTTTATTGCCAATAAAAGATCAGGTTGATTTTTTAGCATACATGACATTACCATATTTAAGTTTAAAGATCCGGTTAAATATTGAAGATTGATGTGATTCAACTAGCACTCCTTCTGGAAGGTGTTTTATGCTTTCCCTTGAGATACTTTTTGAATTTGTATACTGGTGGTGTTGGCTGTGGTCCTTCCTCATGCTGTTCTCTCATTTTGCTAGATTGCCCTCTACATCTGGGACAAAGGTGGAGGACCCCCCCTTACCCCGGTGCCTGAGTTTTGTACAGAAATTATGGACTCCCACTGTGCTACCACATTCCATTCCTTTCTGCCCCTTTGTGTAAGTAACCAAAGAAAAAGTTCATTGCCTTGCAAACCAAAGGAAAAATTGGCATGCCATCCATTACATTGTCCTAGTACTTTACATACTAAAAACAAACGAACAAACAACCTTTGTCCTAGGCGCACCAGAACCCCAGGTCTTGCATCTAGTGATAATCTGATAGGAAAGTGGTGTTGATACCCATCTTCCATATGAAAGGAGAGGGAAGCACAGCCTGGCTACCTCCAGTGGAAAGCCAGGACCTGGGAGCTGAGTAGTGGTGGGAAGGAAATCAAGTTTATTCAAGAGCTGGCATCCTCAGAATGTGGGAAAGCTTTTCCTCCGCTCAGGGAGTTCAGGGCACAGAAGGTTTTTAATAGGGAAGGAAAGGAGAACTAGAGGGCAGCGGGCAGGAAAGCTAAGGACTGAGCAGGATCTTCATCATCCAGGGCTCTGTCTCTTTTTCTGTAATGGATGCTGACCTGGGGCTCATTCCATACTTCTTTAGACATATTTTTTTCTGCAAGTTAAATTGCACAGTAATTTGTAGGCTTTATGTTAGTTGATGCACAGGAGTAAGGAATAAGGAGGTACAGGACACATTCTGATGTTATTTTAAAGTCACCAAATATTCTGGCTTCTGTGAATCTAAAGAAAGAATTATGTAGCAGTTATCAACTTAACTCATTTGGGTGCAGCTTTAAAATTGAGAATGCTGAGCAAACGGAAGGGGAAAGAAGAATGACTCTGCCGAAAACAACTCCCACAGCAGTGGCCATTGTTAAATGAGATGCTTCTTGAAGCACCACACAGCTGGGAGGGAGGGCAGAGAAGTTTGTGCCTGACACCTTCTCGGCCCTTTCACAGTGGTGTGCCAGGGTTATTTTTCTTTGTTGATGGTAGAGCATATGTTGATTGGAATTTTTATTGTTTCCTAGAAAGGCCGTTTTAGTCATTTTCAGGGATACCCAAGTCTTTGTCAGAGGTGCATTACCTTTACCATCTCAGCAGGTGACGCTGCTTTTGTTTTTTTTTTTTGTTTTGTTTTTGTTTTTTTGACGCTGCTTTTGATCTCACCTGAAACTTGCCGGAACTTTAAGAGAGCAGTTACTGGTTCTGGCAGGATTGTGGTCCAGTCCTCAGGATGAGCCTGAAGACCCTGAAACCCACTAGGTTGTTGACAGCTGTTTCCCATGAAGGGAAAATAAATTCACCAACCTCAAACAGTGTGGGTTGTTCTCAAGTCAGTCACTCCAAAGGCTGTGTGTGCCATCTTGAACAACACACACACACACACACACACACACACACATACGCTCCACAGTGTGGCAGTGGAGGGAACTGGTACTGTTTGCAGTTTCTAAGGAGGACACCAGTCTTTCTAGGCATAATGCCAGCCCGCTATCAATGCTCTTCCTCGGGCCTTGAGCAAGAGAACAGAGCTGGGGTTAGGTGTCACTTCGAACCAGCTCCAAGTGATGGAGGAGTCAGGACTGGTTGTTTTTGTAGGTCTAAGACAGGTAATAAAAGGGGGCAAAACAACCCCCACCCCCACCCTGTCAAGCAATTGAAGGCCTGGGGGTGTACTGTAGAGAAATCCCTCCGGGTGCTGCTTTCATCTGCATGACCCTTTCCCCAGGTGTCTGAAGTAATCTTACTTTTGGCAGAGGACAGAACATCCTTGACCTACACTTGGATAGCCAAAAAGGGGGTCATAAAAATAGCTTTCGACATCAAAGTAAAGCTGGGCCCAGAAAAGTGAGTCATTTCTTATTTTTACGCTAAATCATCCCCCTACTTCTTTCCCTTTGTCAAAATCTTCACTAGCTAGGAAAAGAAATGGAAAGTCACCTAACGTTTTGGCCACCTACTATGTGCTTAATAAATTGTAGTAATCATAGCACCCTCATGATGGTTATTCTTCCTATTTTCAGAAAATTTAAGAGATTTGTTACCGTGATTCACCATCTATAATCTGCTGAGCTAGGAAACAGGTCCAGCAATTATACTAGCAGCTTACAGGTTTTTTTTGTTTCCCTAAAACCTTAGCTTACCAAATAAGTTTGATATCCCTGACATCGGTTAATTTGAATTCTAGAGTTTGTAAGATCTAATGTGGGCATAAAGTTAAGAAAATGTTCACTCATAAATACATGCATTTTTTTCTTGCTTTTTAGGGAAAACCAGTGAAGAAAGAAGATATTTTTGTTGCAGTAAAAACGTGCAAGAAATTTCATGGTGACAGAAGTATGTTTTAGGGTATTCATTTTTATTGAGCTTTAAAAATCCAAGCTGTCTTTGCCATAAAGTACAAGCCAGTTAGAAATATAAGCAAGAGAGGAAATAATGGAATAACATGCTATCATGAAAGTTGTTATTTAATCAGTTTCACTCTTCTCACCACTTTATTCGCCAAGATCAGTTAGGATCAATTAGGAGGGACAGTTTTGTATTGAAATACAAGTGTCCAAAACTCTTCTAAATACTGTTTAGAGCAGAGTTTTTAAAAAATGAGAAATCTCGGCTGTGACAATCTTGGCAACAATATGTGCCTCACGGGGCGTTTGTAAAACAATGTCCCACTGTGTCCATGCTCTGAACTCTGTGGAGAATCTAAGGAAATGGCAAGATAGCAGAATGTCAGCAAGGAATGTATTTTTGAAGGCTATTCCTTTTTAAAAAATATTTATTTCAAATACCCCTGTTGGTACTTTTCAATAAAGACACATATTTGCTTGGGAGAAGACACATTGGGGAAAAAGGAAAAAGCCACTTTAGAGACAGTGACCTTTTCCAAAGAAACCTAGCATGCAGGTGAATGTTGTTTTGATTTATTGTTGGTGTCATTACAAAATTCTTCGAGGTATAGTGGTCATGTTTTGTTTTTGCTTTTTTTTTTAAAGTCCATCCTAAATATAAATAGACAGAATTTCTCTCTTCTTCAACCTCACACCAGACAGCACTTTTCTGATACTGAAAATTAGGCAATCCTTTTGATTTTCTAATTTGAGCATATATTTTAATTTTTTCCAGGAAAATGCTGACAATATGAACCAGGGGTGTGATATTTATGTAGGAGAGATTTCTAAACCAGCTGTCATTTTTATGGGATTGGTGTGATGGGGAAAATACATTTATCTACTTTATGGGATAACATAATGCACACAAATTATATTTTAAAAGGGAAGATGTTTCCTGAATAAAAAGTTTTATGGTTTTGGATTATAGTATTGCTTAAGTTATCAACATGAATTAAAATCTATCTCTAATCAGCAATATCCTAAATGTATGTTAACCATACACATGCATGTTTGCCAGAAATAGTTCTGTCAAACTTCAAATCCTACTAAATCTGACTACATAAATATATACAGTCATTATACAGAAAGATCTAAAATACTAGTAGGGATCTGTTCAGCAATTTAAGTAAGAGTTTCATTTATCAGTAGGAAATAGGAAGATAGATCTTTTAGAAAAGGAACCATGAGATGAAGGGGAAGAGAAAAGAATTAAGATGTGTTAGGCATATGTTCCAGGTGCCGCAGAAATACGAACATGTACTAAGAAAAATTTTTAAAAATATTTTTATTCATCATAAATTTATCTTAAACTCAATATCATTTTCCTTTCTTCATAGTCTAGAAGGGCTTTGTGGAATAATTTTGATACATATCTTTTTCTTTTCTTTTTTTTTTTTTTTTTGTTGGTACTAGGGATTGAACCATCCTCAACCCTATTTTTATTTTTTGTATTGAGACAAGAGTCTTGCTAAATTGCTAAGTTGCCCATTCTGGGCTCAAACTTGTAATCCTCCTGCCTCTGCCTCCTAGAGTGCTGGAATTACAGGCATGTGTCAGTAGGCCCTGAGGATAAATACCTTTCATAAAAAAAAGTGTTCGAGAAATGAACTAGGCCGTCTTCGATTTTGTTTTGGTTTGTAGCAAGCAGAAGTATTTGAGTTGATTTGATCGATCTTGAACCTGACCTGGAATACTGACTATTTTTGTAATACTAATGTTAAAAATGGTGCTGGTAGTATTCTGTAGTCTTAGGCCAGTGGCTGACTTGGTGGGGGGTGTCCCAACAGATGAGGCTTGCCACTTGACCCAGCTGACCAAAGAGGAAACAAGTGATTCTGAAAGCAGGAAAGAAATCTATCCAATGTGGCCACAGTAGAAAGGAGCAGGCAGACCAGTATCTTAGTTACTTTTCTCTTGTGGCTGAGACAAAATACCTGATGATCAAAATTCAGGAAGGAAAGGCTTATTTAGCTTCCACAGTTTGTGGAGGTTTTCATCCATAATCAGTTGACTGCAAGGCAGGGTGGCATGGCACAGGGGCTACACTGATGGTGGCAGAAGATACCAAAAGCAACAAGAACGAAAGAGGAAGAGAGAGAGAGCAAGGTTCTTTCCCTCCCTCATACTGTATGCAGGCTCCCTGCCCCAGGGTGGGTGTAGAACTCACACCCATCATCCCAACATTGGACCATGAATCAGTTACAAACTCTAGAAGCTCAATCCCATAATTGCATGAGGTTTTGCGGGGGGACAGCTAGACACAAACCATAACAACCAGCATTCTCAACCTTGACTTCAGTATATTGGCAATAGCTCTAGGTTTTATGTAGGGGAAGAACAAAGTGGGGCAAGAAGCATGCCTAGTCAAGAACAGGACAGTGACTTCTGGGTACCACCCTGGTGGTTTGGAAAAAGATGTAAAAATTGGCAATTTACAGTCTGTTGCTTAAGATGTCCCTGCAGATCTGGGAAGTGATTTAGTTACTCTTATCTTGCTCTCTTCAGCTTTGGAAAGGGAGGATTCCTGGCGTTAGTGGAACACATCCACATGCAGAGTTGAGCAGGAACCTGACCCAAAGTTTCAGGTAGCAGAGGAGACAAATGTGCAATGAAGGCAGAGATGCCACGCTTTAACCTTGCTCTTTGCCACCCACTGGACATCTAGGAAAGGAAAGAGTCAAGTGTTTCTAACCAAAGCAGCCTCTGTTGTAGTGGTGAGGCTGGCTTGGTAGCAGTGGCATTTTCCCCTTTGAAACACATTTTTCAGGTGACTGTGAAGCAGTGAAATTAGGGACCCTCCCTGTTGTATTTTTTATAACCTACAAAAGTATAAGTTTGTTCATTTTAATTTAGCAATATTGGATAATTTGGTTTTCTGATTTTATTTTATATGAGTGAAATAATCTTTTAGCTACGGAAAGGCTTTTATATGTAAATTTTGATTCAAATTGCTTTGAAAGTTAAAGAATCTTAAAAAGCCGTTAAGAGTGTTAAAAACGAACTTCCCAAGGTCAAACGTATTGATTCACTGAGGTTAATTTGGATTTAGAGTTCGCATGAGCCCTAACGGGTATTGTGACTCTTGCTTTCCTAGCTGGGTTTCTGTGGCAACCGTTTTTAAATTGAGATGTGTGGGTTCGAAGAGACGGCTTAAGGCAGCACCATCTTAGGGCCCCTGTTTCCTATTTTGCTCCGTGGCGGTGAAGCACTGGGCTGTGCCTCTTCTTATTTAGAAGTCTGGTCTACCCAGTGTGTGGCCCAAAGAATGATCCAGTAATCCTACCAGTGACAATGTCAATGCCACCATAAGTGGTTCTTACTGCTAATTTTAAAAAATGTTCCGGTGTGTTTTTTACATATACAGTAACCCATATTAAATTGCATGTTGACAGTTCCTTGTGATGTGACAGTTACTCAAAGCTGAGTGTGGAAGGATGCACTGCTGGCCCAAGTCCTTGTGGCCTGCTGAGTGGGGAGGCAAGACTTGAGTTTCCAGCTTCGGAATCCCCATGTTGTTTCTGCCACAGCACAACTATACTGTAATTTCCTTGGATGTTTGATGAACCCAACACTGTATAAATTGTCTTTGATATTTATGTTGATTCCCTGCTGTGCTCAAGGTCAGCTTGGCCTTGGCCGGAAGCTGTGGAAGTAGGCTTTCATTTTCACCAGCAGTGAGTATTACAAGGAATTGAAGCCCACATGCGATCTACAAGACACGCTGGGCTGGGAATTTAGACTGCCACCCTGTCCAAGCAAATTACTGCTACAGTCAACCAGGATACCTGCGCTGGGTCACCTTTTTCTTTTCGTGTTCTCTGTGTGCTCTGTGGTAGAAATACTTGAAGGAACAAAAGTTTAGAGGCAGTGAAGGAAAAAACATAGATGAAAAACTGCATTTGAACAATGGAGAAGGGGTTGCATTTGTGGGAAGAGTTTTATTAATGTTGATCACCTCGCTGATGAGGATGAAAGAGAGACACAGAAAGGGCAAATGTGTGTTAAATTCTTTTTAATACTCTCTTGGACAAATTGATCATAAAACCAACCTCCAAAATTTTAAAAACACATCTTAAATATGATACGTTGTTTGGCCTCACTGTGAAATATCTACATAGCTACATTTGCCTGGATTCTGATATACATGAACTAGAGCAGTGGTGGTGAACCTGCAGCACACATGTCATTTTTCTTTTAAAATGACAACTGTTAATATATGAGTTGTGGTTTGTAAACTGAAACCTCAGTATTCAGGTTTAATTGCAGCGTTGGCATTTTGTGATAAGTAGGTAGGTTTGGGGTTGCGGGTTTTTTTTTTTTTTTTTTTTTTTGGTTTTTCTCCGGTACCGGGAACCGAACTCACAACCTTGCGCTTGCCAGGCAGGCACTTTTTGCCTCTGAGCTAAATCCCCAGCCCCGGGGTTGCGGTTTTGTCTCTAAAAGAGGCTCCTTGTCACTGAATCAGAGCATTCTTAGAACATGGCTAGCAAAAACATGCTATTTTTTTGGTAGAGCAAAACATTTTGACACCATTGAAATAGTAGTGTCCTCGGAGGGGCAAGTGTTCAGGAGGATTTTCAAGAAACTTTAAAACTATTATGTATGATGATGAATCAGGCAGAGCATGGAAAAGATCTCTGGAGTTTTAATTTGCGGTTTGATGACCTCCTCTTGGGTTATGGGTTTGTCGTTGTTTGACACGAGCTGTCAGAAAACCTTAGGCCTGTCCTTGGCATCGCTCTGCCGTGCGGCTCCAGCGCACGCCTCATGCAGCTTGTGTGTGCTCATCAAATACTGGGCTGTGAATCGCTCTCCTGCTTTAGTCTCCCTCTAATTAAAGAGGTCAGATTGCTGTTTGCTCAGCCGTTAGCTCTTTTTCACAGCTTCCTGAGCTTTTAAAAGTAAATACCTTATTCAAGTTAAAAAGAGACAGAGCCTTTTTTCTGTCTTTACTGCTGTGATCTTGTCTGGAAGAGGCAAATTGGAACAAATTTATTAGAAGGAGCGTTTGGTGGCTGGGGTTCTTTTTGATGAAAGAGGCTTCATATACCTGGGCACAATCTGCTTGTTTAAAAGGTGAGGCTTGCATTAAGATGCAGACAGATGGAAGGCACACTCTAGTCAGATGAAGTGATTAGATTAATTATTGAAGAGTGGAGGGGGTCAGGTGTGGCCTGGCTCGGTTCTTTCCCTCACCGCTGAATAGCTAATGATGCTCCAGATTGCTTCAAACTCTTAGATCAGCGAGGAGGGATGCTTTTCCATCTTAGGTACAATTCAGTCTTTAAAATTAGGAATTAGAGTACAAATGTGTGTCCCTAGTGCCCTGCTGAGATGAGAAGGACAATCAGGGTTTTATGTTGTGGTTACTTAACACACACAGAGAGACAAAAGGTCCATTTGCCAGTCGAAAATAGCAGACTCTTCAAAATAGCTATTCAGCTTCGTGTGGTACATTTGATTGATTGAACTTTTATAGGATGTCCAAGTGTCAGTCTATTTTCATCCATAACACTACACAGTTTTGCAAGTAAATTCACCAGGGGTAAAAAAGTATGTTTCTTCACCTCCTAGTGAGACCCAGCTCTTACTTAAATCTAGAAAGCTCTAATAAAGATTAATGCCATTGGCACAGCTGGGTTTTTTATAGTAAAACTTTTACTTTGCTCCAATTTTGTTACCCTATGCCAGACTTTCTTGAAAAAGGCACTATTTTTTTATTATGTGGTAGAAAGCATGCATCTCTCTATTGAAAATGAGATATCATGTAACTCTCTAGAAGTAGATGGTTTAATTTTTTGAGGGATGCAGCACCTTAATATAATGTGAAATAGTTTGTAAATAATACAATGAACTCCTTTTAGAATTCAGACTGTGCTGATAACATAGGCCAGTATTTTAAAAGTTCAATTTAGCATGAACCCTCATTGGAGATAAAACCTTAACTTGCTATTTTAAAAGCCTTTACCTTCAAATCCTTTACAGCTAGAAGTTACAATAAAAGCATGGGAGTTACACTAATGAGAGACTGATACAAACTATTTAATGTATTAGGTACTTTAGGATCATAGTATCTTACCATATTAAATGTTTGCACTAATTTTAAGTGATTGTTAATGATGGTACCGGTTTTATACCCAAGGATTAATTACCAGTATGAATAAAAATTTTTAAATTACTTTCCAAAAATAGTCCTACACCTGTAAATGTGACTCTGACAGAATTCAGTCCTCATTCAAGTATTCATTGAGCATCTACTGTATCCTAGGCACTGTGCCAGACACTGGGAATAAATCATACAGAAAAGCTTACCTTTGGAGAAATTTCTATTTCAAAATAAGCCTGAAGTCAACTAGTTAGGTATAGCAGAGAGCTAGCTCACACTGATTAGGTTTTAATGTTATTTAAAGTAGATAATTAAGGATAAAGCACCTGTGCTGTTTAATAAAGCTATTAGACTAGAAGGACAAGGCTAAAGGCTGAGGAAATTGAAAGTAGGATTTACACAGGCTAAGGACCCACGCTGGGAACTGAGGCAGGTTCCTGACCTTTCTTGCCGCTTGTTCCGGCATTATGCAATGGATGTTTTACCCAAGAATGTGAACTTTTAGTCGCCACAAGCTGCAGGGAGCCTTTCCGGGATAAGTCCTCTTGCTTGTTATGTGGAAAACAAACTGCAACTGCAGCTCCAGGGTGAAGATTTTTGTAGAGCTGCGATTTGGGAGTAGAACAGAGTGAGGTTTTCGAAGAAGTTTTCCTTTTTTCTTGTCCTCCTCCACATCTGTCCTCTCTTAGTGCATCTTGGACCATTTTGACAGGAAGAAGCCTTCATAACTGTCTGCCTTTTATGTTAATAGAAAATGATCTTTGAAAATATAAAAATACTCAGTGGATAATTTGGTAATGATGTTACCCGTGTTCAGAATTCATAATTGTTTTTCTTAAAGGTTGATAAATAGTGGATTATAAAACAATGCACTTTTGCATATGAGTTAAAGGTATCTGAGCTGGGTGCTTGAGTTTGCTGATTTACCCAGCTAAATATTTAGATTTCACATTGCAGTGACAGTTTTTGCATATAATTTATTTTAACTTGGGTTGGAATCAAGGAAAATACACAATCTAATAAAATCTCACAAAGTTTCGTGAAGATTTGGTTCATCAGTGTTAAGATTTTTAAATTAATAGGGTCTAAAATCTGAATGCAGTCTTCTCTATTAGAACAACAACAGAAACTCCTTTTAAAACAGGTGCACAGATAGTAATTTTAAAACATGTACAGACAGAAGAAAACAATTACCTGGATATTTGACATATGAATTAACACCAAGTGGGAGCTGTCTGTATATCAGGTATGCAAACTCTGTGTCTGTTGAGCATCTAAACCTGAAATACCTTTTGTTTTCAAGAATTTATCCATTATTAGGCTGGGCATGGTGGCTTATACCTGTAATCCCAGCACTCAGGAGGCTGAGGCAGGAGGATCACTGGGAGTTTGAAGCCAGCCTGGGCTACAAAGTGAGTTCAAGGCCAGCTTGAACTGCATAACGAGACCCTGTCTCAAAAAGACAAAAAGAACCCCCAACAGTGACAATGAAAGGGCTGTGGGTGTAGCTCAGTGCAGAGACCTTGCGTTCAGTCCCTACTACCAAACAATTTAAAAAAATTTTATCTGTTGCTGATAGTTTTAAAGTCTACAGTGAATCTCAATTTTATTTCTTCCACATTTTTCAAATATATACCATTAATATCAGTCATGATATGCATCATGGATGATCTGTGGTGAGGCCACGCTTGCTATAGATTTGGGAACCCTAGTTAAAGTCCCTGGGCAGCAGCACGTACTGTTGGGAAAGGTCCTCCGCTCTGAGAGGGATCATACACGTCTCAGCCACAATCACACCCACCATTCCGCTCTGCAGAGGTATTTCAGTTGCCATTGTGTTAGTCACCTTTTCCTCACTGTGACCACATGCTTGAGAAAAGCAACTTGAAGAAAGAGTCATTTGGGATCGTAGTCTGAGGTCTGCCAGGTCCATGGACTCAGGCCTGTGATGCTGCCCAGTATCCTGAGGGAGTGTGTGGCGGGGAAGGCTGCTATCCTCAGGACAGCCACAGAGCAGAGAGGGCGAGAGAGCCCAGCAGCCGGCCACCAAGCCTTCAACGAAAGGAGCCTTTTGGGGGACATTTCGGATCCCAACTGCAACACCCACCCGACAAAAACATGTTTAAAAAATGCATTTATGGGTAGATAAAATGGAACAACCAATAGGGAAAAGAGGAAGATGAATTCATTGAAAAGGAACGTTATAAACAGACTAGAAAATTTGTTGTATGGAATAACTGTATTTATCGCCAGAAATGAGAAATTGACTCTACGCCATTTAAAAAATGCTTCAGGGAGAGAGTTTTGGCCAAGTGCTGTCATCAGCGGACAATGCTGCCGTTTCTCGCAGGTGAAAGCAAGCTGCAGGTCTTGGGACACCTGAAGTGTAGTGCCTGCTTCCCTTACAGCCCACTATGCTGTCATTTCGAGTTTTCAAGCCTCCTGTACTACTGTATCAATGATCTCCGCCTCTGTCTTTTCAGTACCCATTGTAAAGCAGACCTGGGAGGGACAGGCGAGTGTCGTGGAGTACTACAGTGACTATGCAGATAGTGCCATCCCTACTGTGGATTTGGGAATTCCTAACACAGACAGAGGTGAGTCCTTCGTTCTTCCTCCTCTTACTAAAAACCCTCATCCTGTAAACACAACTAATTAGAATAAAATGAAATATGTAGCGCTGTAATTTTTGCCTGTCGTTTTTTTTTTCTTCTTCCTTTGCCCAGCATCTTTCCCTGCAGGTGTGGAGTGATTCTTAACATTATAGACTTTGTAGCAGAAAGAGTTGTACATTTTTAGTCATTTGTATTGCTGTGGAGTCAAAGAACAGGTTTTTCTTATCTTCATAGTGTATCATGGCCATAATTGGATTCGCAGAGTAACTTGTCATCTTCCCGTATTGAGTCTCCTAAATGTTATGGTCTGGTTCACGTTTCTTACGCATCTCTGAGTAGCACCTGACCCCATTGCTGTACTGCTATGTACAGAGTAAGCTGTGTCGGGGCTGGGGATTTAGCTCAGCGGCAAAGCGCCTGCCTGGCAAGCGCAAGGTCGTGAGTTCAGTTCCCGGTACCAGAGAAAAACCAAAAAAAAAAAAAAAAAAACAGAGTAAGCTGTGTCATCTGTGTTAATCTTTTCGTTAGTATGTTGTTGGAAGTACACCTACTTTTTTCTTTGATGGCAGGTTTGCTAGTTAACAACATGTTTTTCCCTGTTTGTGGTACTGGGGATTAACCTAGGTGTGCTCAACGACTTAGCTGCATATCCAGTCCCTTTTTTCATTTTATTTTTGAGACAGTCTCACTGAGTTGCCCAAGCTAGCCTCAAATGTGCAGTCCTTCAGCCCCAGTTTCTCAGGTAGCTGAAATTAGAGGCCTGCATCACCATGCATGGTGAAATATTTTTTAATTGAAAATAAATGAAACTAGAAATTTGACCACCTCATTATTTGTCTTAGTGCTTACTCAGCATTATTGCCACAATGTTTTTTTCTTGGTTCCCCACACCCTTTTACAAATTTTTAAAAAAATAATATGAGTAGTAAACTGACTATTTTGTTTTATAGAAGTTTATTTTGATTGTTTTATAACATTGTCACTCATAATTCCTTAGCAAATAAAGTTCATGGTAGAATCAGAAATTCCTTTTCTATAATTACAGATTCTTCTGGCAAGTTTAAACATATTATAGAGACCACTCTTTTTTTGCAAAAACTTTTTTAGGCTGAATTTTTTCTAGTTAACCTTGCTTTTCTAAAACTTCAGTGTAGGCTGCTTTACTAAGTATTCATCTATTTACTCATTCTTTATTTGATTTTTTCGTGTATTTCTAGTTTGACCACATTTTGCGTGTATTTGTGTTCTTTTTGATCCCAAAAGCAAAAGTAAACAAGAGCTGAGGATGTAGCTCATTGCAAAGGCACTGGGTTCAATCCTTAGTACCACGTGACACACACACACAAAATCAAGAGTAAATAAAAGTGAAATTGAGTGGTTTAATATTAATTAATTAATATGAATTTGTGTTATACCAGGTCACCAAATACTTAGTTGAAATGAGGGACATAATCCTATTTATCAACTTGAATATTTCTCCTCAATGTTTTACTTTTTTGGCGGGGGGAGAGCATTTACCATGAAACCATTACAGTTTATCTGTTGATGTCTGAAGGACTGTGACTCTGTCTTACCTAGTACTGTATCTTTAATGCCTCTCTTCCTACCTGCCTCTGTATCTGACATGTTAAAAATTTAGTTGCACATATTCACAAAATACATGAATCAAGGTATAGTCTTCACTTTCGCGCCTTCACTTCTCCATGGTCATAGTGCAGAGTCCCAACTGTTCTTTCATAATCACATCTCCAAAAGAGAAGGCTCCTGGAGATGCTGTGAGACTGGTGACCTTCCTGTTTGTCTAGACAGAAGCTGGTTCCGTCTCTACCTCCAGGTATTTGTGTGGCCTTGCACAATTTCTCCAGTCCCTACAGTCTCCATTTCCCCATGGCTTAGACATCAAGTTCCTACCTATTCATTATGTCTGTGAAGATTAGAAATTAAAGAAGGCTGACTTCTAGGAAAATTTCAGATTATTAAGGTGGTCAAGATTCAACCTCATAACACTTAGAAAATTAAAAAAAATGAATTGTGTGTATTTTAGAGAAAATTAAATGTATCATACGTTTTCTTCTTAATGGTCATAGGTCATTGTGGAAAAACATTTGCCATTTTGGAAAGATTTTTGAATCACAGCCGGGACAAAGTGACATGGCTAGTCATTGTGGATGACGATACATTAATAAGGTAAGGAGTCCTTCTCACGCTAAGTGACTTTAACGTTTGTGTATCATCACATTTGAAAACTGTGGTAGGTACTCTGCTGTGGCCAAGATGGACGAATAGGGACGGGACTGACCTCCCCTCTGAAACAACCCCCAAAGGGACAAGAAGTATGAAGTAAAGGTTGTTAAGATACTGAACATTAGAGTGATGTGAAGCAGATGACTGTTAAGCTGTGTGCCCTAAAAGAGTTCCAAGCCACTGCTCAGATGCACACAAGCAGAACCTGCAGGCTCCTGGAGTTGAAGACATGGAGCTGAGGGTCTCAGGAGGCCAAGGCTGCTAGAGTTTGCACAACCTAGGACTAGAGAGAAGAGAGCTTCTCAGAAAGAAAGTACTTGAAAGGGAGGGTGCGCTTCAGTATTCAGTACTGATCAGCATGTCTGTATGTGGAAATTACTCAAGCCTGGGGAAAGAACCACCAGAAGGATTATAGGAAATGGTTTTTTTTTGTTTTTTTTCTGGTACCGGGAATCGAACACATGACCTTGCGCTTGCCAGGCAGGCGCTGTGCTGCTGAGCTAAATCCTCAACCCCTTATAGGAAATGTTTATTGACACTGACAAAGGGCTGGGTATGTTTTCCCACTATCTAGGCTAGAATATCTGTGATTCATTGGATCAAAAGTTACCAGGCATGCAAGACTGTAGGAAAATCATGTGGAGAGAAAAATAATTTGACATGAATTGTTTCAGAATGATTACAGTATGAGAAGTAATACTTATTAAACTGTTATTGTTAGTTACCATAACTATTCCACACAATCAAAAAAGAGACATGAAAGGTATAAATAAATCCAAAAGCACCTTTTAACTTTTTATAGTCTATAGATAAGAGCTGCAAAGTTATTTGAGATATAAAGCCTACTAAATGGGATAAACAGTAAGTTAGACATTATAGAAGAAATGGCAGTGAACTTCAAGATACTGTAGTAATAACTATCCAAAGTGAAAGACAAATATAAAAAATTTTAGAAAATGAACAGAACATCACTGAACTTCAGGATGATTTCAAGTAGCATCCCAATATATATTGTATATTATA